AAAGCCTAAACCCTAAACCCTCTAAAACCTGTCCGAGGACGGTAGCAGAGTCCACGTCAGCCCCGCAACCGATGCTCGGCTTGCGGCCGCCTCTCCCCCCTGCCTCCCCGTCCCCTCCCTCCCCTAAGAGGGCTTAGGGTTTAGGGTTTTGGGGTTTAGGGTTTAGGGCTTAGGGTTTTGGGGTTTGGGGATCTAGGGTTTAGGGCGTCTTCCTGCGCGGGGCTGAGTATCCATGCACCGATGGCGCCACCCCAGGGATCTCTGGGTGGCGGCGCATCCTGCGCCCAGCGACCCGACGAAAGATGTCGTTAAAGAAGCCAGCGCAACTGGGATTTCTTCAATTTTTTCCACCCGCTGTGACAATTCGCAGGCTACCACCCAGAAATGCCAAGCACAGGGCCCAGAAGGCGGCCGGGGGGGAAGGCCGGGGAGGGGGGTTTGTGAGGAGTGTCCGTTTTCTGGGTTTTTTTTTGGGGGCCAGCCTCGGCCGTCGTTGTGAGGCTTTTGGTCCTCGGTTTTAGCCATCAGGGGAAAATCAATGTACATTGTAGGGATTTGGCCTACAGGGGTGGCTGGAGGCAGAGTTGTGCCTACGGGAAGAGCCCGGAAAAGCTCTATTCGTCCACTCTCCAAAGGCTCCTCCCATTGTCGAACCCAGTACGGGCGCAAAGGCTGATGTGTTTCTTCAGTGTCTGACCACCCTAGTAATGGCCTAAGCAGGCCGAGTGGGAATTTAGGGTCTCCTCCATCCCTCCCGAAGAAGGGTTTTAGGGTTAAGTTTGTGTAAGCGTCTAACCCTCCCGACAGAGGGTTTGAGGGTTAGGTTACCAGGTTTGTGCAAGCATCTCACCCTAACCCTAACCCATATGCGCCTCAGGCATGGAGTGTAAAGGATTGGGGCTAGAAGGGTCTGGGGATAGCCACATGGCCGGGTTGATTATGGTTATTGTGATTATGATTATGATCATGGTCATGATTATGACTATGGCTATGATTATGATTATGATTATGATTTTGATTATGATTATGATAACAGTAATAGTATTATTAATTATTATTACTGTTTTGATTCATTAATTGCTGTTATTATTATTAGTGCTGTTATAACTCTTATTATTGTTATTGTTTGCAGAGTCATTCGGCATCAGAAGTCAACTTCCCTGAGCCCCCAAACTGGATCCTCGATGTGTTTTCTTTGCTTGAAGATTTCTTTGGCTGGGTTCTTGTTAAGGGATTTGGTTTAAGTTATCATAGTGGAGATCCATAGTAAATAATAGAGTTTCCTTATTATGGTAACTCAGACCCAGTTGTGCACCCAGGCTGGCGATCGCTTTCCCGGTGGTTGGGACTCTGAGGCTTTCGTCGTTGTCCCTATCTCACCCAACGAGCACAAGATAATGCTCTGGCATCCGGGCTCTGAGCGCTTCTTGGAAGCCTCAAGGAGGTTTAGGGTTTAGGGTGAGGGATTCAGGGTTTAGGTTTAGGGTTTAGGGTGTAGGGTTTAGGGTTCAGGGTTTAGGGTTTTGACAGGGCTTTCTGGGAAGCCTCTTGGTACGATTGCATTTTTCTTGGCTTACAAGGGCGACCGCGGGAGGAAGGCAGTTCAAATGGGCCCTTTCACAAAGCAGAATATTCTGGTTGTAAGTAGCCCCTAAACCCTTCAGGGTTCGGCGCTTAAGCCCCTAGCAACCGAGTGCGAAAGGCCGACCTCCACAGCCATGGGGACCGCCGCACCCATGTCGTACCCGGTACCGGAACACGTTCAATAGCCTAAACCCCAAGCCTAGGAGGCCCCCAAAAACGCCAGGGACATAGATCAGAATTTGCCCCGCCCTGCCCTGCCGCTACCGATGCCCTGCCCTGCCCTGCCCTACCCTACCCCTTCCCCGTCCGTGCTAAAAGCAAAAAAGCGCGATGGCAGAGTTTAGAACCCTAAACCTAAACCCTGAACATTTAAACCTGCCATTCACAAACGCGCCGTTCTGAAACCCTTACCGTCTTGGCGGCCCGAAGCCCTGACCCCAAGCCCTAAAACTCTAAACCGCAAGGCTGCATCAAGATGGACGGTACCAGCGTCGTGCGCAGCTCGACGAGGTCTGCAGAGGACGTCATTATATTAAAGCATGTTATAGTGTTTTATCTAATGTTCTATTTTTCTTATGATAAATAACATTTGGCTTCTGTCTCTTGACTCTTCCCCTCCCTCCACTCCCCGCCCGTCTTCCCCTTTGAGGGAAGTGGATGAGGCAAAGCACATCGACATCAGCGTTTCTATAGCTCGTAGCAGCGGTGTTGTGCCTGCTGCCTCTTTGTGCAACGCGACTACATGGGTAGTTCTCGAAATTAGTGTTCCTTTTTTAGGGATGCAGAAGAAGGCGGCACCCGTATAAACAGAACCCCCAGAGGGACCCTAGTTTATCAAACGATCCTCGTGCTGCCTTTTGTTCGGTGCGCTGCCTTCAGTTTCAGGCTGACTCGGTTAGCAGCCATTAGCGGTCTGGCTGTGCCGGCGGAGGAATGTTTGTTATTTCTTTTCGGGGATTGTTGTTTTTCGTTTGGCCTGTTTGTTTTGCTTTCTGCTGGTTTCGCTGTTGAGTTCTGCTGGTTTTGCTGCTTGTTGATTTTGTCATTGCTTGTTTCCCGCTTTTTGTACGTGCCGCTGCTGTTGGTGTTTGTTTGCCTTTGCTTTCGCTTTTCTAGCCTTGCAAAGCTTGCAATGAAATATCTTCTGCAATGCCCCCAAGCATCTCCCCCCCACTTTCCCGCTTTCTGTTACTATAGCGACGACGATAGGGTTTAGGGTTTCAGGAGCTCTCAGCAGCTCCAATCCAACTTGCAAAATTTGCGAGCCCCCGAGCTGCGAATGTTGTTTTGTGGCTGGTAGTCTGAATTGAAGCGCAAGCCCTCCAACCAGTAAAGAATTTCGTAAACCAAAGACAAGAATTGTTCCGTGCTTGATTCCGGAGCCCAGCATCGTTTGCCCTTCTTCCCTTCTAGCGGCCTTCCGTTTGTTTCGTACTCTTGTGAACTTGCCAAAGATCGCAAAAGGAAGAGCTTTCGGGTTCGAGAAGCGCCTTGGCTTGCCTCAAAAAATCCACCTTGCCTTGCGGGAACCGCCAGGGGCTATACCACGACACGATAATTCCGATAATTCAATGCTTCGCGTCGCTGCCATCATCAATCATTATCATGATGATCATCATGGTCTTCATCCTCCTCATGATACTTATAAGCGGTACCGCGAGCGTCTAGTTACAGTCATAATGCTAGCACTCGTATTGCAGTTTTGCTGAGATCTCTGAGCGGAAGTAGGGATAGCTTTTCGATACTGGAGCTTTTTTGCATTGAAGTTTGTGTTTTCAGGCCTCCAGGATTGGCGGCTCGAGGGCTTAAGCTTAGATGAGATGGGTCATTTCTAACTAGTAGTATGCATCCGCGAAATCGGCTGCACCGCAGAGCCACCTGGCCTTTGAACAAATTCTCCTCAAGCAAAGCTGGTGAAACCCTGAGCTCTGCGCCCTAGAGCCCGATCCTGCAGGATCTCACCACAAGCTGGGACAAGGAAACCTTCAAAGTGGTGGTTCTCGAAGATGCGCCACCGAGCTAGACGGCTGAAGGCTAAAGTTTATGTTCTCGAGTAGAGTTTAAGACTGCAGAGGATATGGATCCCTGTGCCGGGAATCCCTGCTGCTCCGGACCTGTCCATTCAAAAAGGGGGGCGATTTCGTTTGTGATGGGTGTTTGTTGTGTCAAGGAGGGGACGTATCACCTACACTACTTACAGGGCCCCTAAACCCTGAACCCAAAACCCTAAACCCTAGACCCTAAACCCTAAACCCTAGACCCCAAGGCTGGGATGAAGTTTTTTTTGGGGGTGATCCCCACTTGGGAGCCTTTCGAGAAGGCATCCTTCATGTCACGCCGTATTTCTAAGATCCGTTGGAGGATCAGTCCGAGGTTTAGGGTTTAGGGTTTAGGGTCATTGATTGCTTGATTGATTGATCCTGCCTACTTCATCCCACCTCTGAGAGGCCCCTGAGCTACTTGGAGGTTCGTGGGTAGCTATAAGTGGAGTTACACGTCCCCTAATACGGGTTATACTTATAGTTACCCTGTTAATAACCCCTGCTCATAACTACCCATGAGGCTCCAAGTAGCTTAACACCCTAAACCCTAAACTATGCTGCGGCCACGGGACGGAAAAGCCTTCTGGGCTTATGATCTATTCTGGGGGGTTTCATGTAAAGTTATAGTAACCCTAAACCCTAAACCCTAAACCTTAAACCGTTAATATACCCGTTCTCCTTAGCCACGCCACCTTTGTTGCAGCGCGAAAGGCGCCTCTACGTGACAGGCTCAGAGCCGAGGCCCTGCAAGGTTCCGATGATGGCCATGGCGGTGGTGAGGGTGATCATTAAGGTTTAGGGGTTTAGGGGTTTAGGGTTTAGGGGTTCAGGGGTTCAGGGGTTTAGGGGTTTACGGTTTAGGGGTTCAGGGGTTTAGGGGTTTAGGGGTTTAGGGGTTCAGGGGTTTAGGGGTTTAGGGGTTTAGGGGTTTAGGGGTTTAGGGTTTAGGTGATTGGTGGTGGTGGTGGTGGTGGTGGTGTCGACTGCTACTTGTAACACAGAACAGCAAAGTGCTCTCGCGCTCTGGCCTTCGCAAAAGTGCTGTAAATGGGGCTGGGGGTCCGAAAT